TGTCAATCAATTTGAAGAATGAGAAGCCAGAATTTGCAGCCTCCCATTCTAATGAGCCAAATATTTTCAAACCTATCATATTGCATCATCAACTATATGTACACCTAGAACTCTATTTATAAAACACTTTCGTTGGACGAATGTCACAAGCCTATGTCCAGGCTGCAATATTCCCCATATTTTCTCTAATACTATGACTTCCTTTGATCATTAGTTCCATCTAGTGGACAAAATGCAGTATATTTTATGATTGAGGAAAATATACTACATTTTGGCTGCTAATTGGAGCTGACAATCATAGAAAGTCATAGTATTAGACAAAAAAATGGGGAAAAGTCATGCAGCCTGAATGAATTTTTGTGACATTCATCCAATGAATATTTTATAAATAGAGCCCTTAATGAAACAAAAAATTATAAAACACAAAACACTGCACTTAAACCTCACTTTACCAATGCATTCACTTAAAGGGTAACTCCACTTTCATTGGGGGAAAAAATAGCAGAAAAATAAATAAATGATCTAGGATATACAATTGCTATACAAGCCATATTGTATTTGAATGTCATTAAAAATTACCTTTCCTTTTCAATCTGCAACACTGTAATTTTCTGTAAAATTCAAATTTGGCAACCTGGAGGCGTTGATTACATCATTGGGGTATGGAACACCTCCAGAAATGTCATTTACTGCTTGTGTGATTGGCTCAATTATTTCCCCAGGCATCTGCACTAAGATACAAGTCAGATTTTAGGCATCCTTTGCAACAAAAATTTTCTGTTTTGGTGAGATACTTCCAATGGGTTAATGACTTCTAAAAGGAAACAGACCCTGCATTCTCCTCATTTGAACACTGCAAGTGCACCAGCTGAATAATAATGAAAAGGTCATTCACATTCACATTCACTCTCCAAACAACAGAGTAGAAACAGGTAGAAATCTGTAACAAAGTTTGTTAAAATCTTTACAATGTACACAGATCACCCAGAGGGAATTTTTTTTCTTAACAAAATGGAGTTACCCTTTAAGCTGAACTATAGGCAGATATATAAACACAAATGAATGCAGCTCTGTATTTGTTAATATATTATTAAATGTAATTTTTTTTAAGGTAAGCTCTGTATGTACCTGAATTTCAGTGTTTGTGCCTGGTATCAGCCTGTACAGCAGGGCTGGATGGTGAGAGGAAGAAGCATATAAGGAGTCAAAGAGTTCATGGGCTGACAAGGAACAGGCTGCTAAAAAGAGAAAGCAGAATGACAGAGAGATGAACTAATAACTGTCCTGCTTCTCTCTTCACTGTTCAGTCACAAGCTGGATGTCGGTCCAGAATGTACTGGGCTCAGAAAGTGGTAAGAATAGTGCTGGCCATCAGGATAAGGAAACTCAGAAAAAGGTACTGCAGGAAAAACTCTTTGGATTGAAATTGACTATAACAGCAAAGTCTAGTTTTATTATTTCAATGGGCTATTCATTTTATAGTTTTTTTTGGCTGCCATTCTGCATAAAACAGAATTAAACCTGGTCTTAAAAATAAAAAAGTAAAAAAATGGACCCTGGGTACCTTATTCCATAATGTTACAGTATGAGCAACCTATCAGCACATTATGGCAGACTAAACTACCAAACAATCCCCTCCAACACTGTGGTGTCAGAGTTATCTGTCACTGGTGCTGCAATCTTCTCCCGATCTTTCTTCCGGGTTTGGACTCTTCAGCTGCTTGACTGGCTCCCATCCTCCGTATACATCAATACTGATGGGCAGGGAGAAGCAGTTATGATACAGGAGACCAATTGAGGCTTTTCTGTCATAGAAATACTACCTGTCAGCAATTGTTTGAGAGTCCACTTTAGAACAGCTTTATAGTCTAAAACACAGGTGTCAAGCACAAGGCCCGTGGGGTCAAATCCGGCCTGCCAGGTCATTTCATGTGGCCCTCACCCAGAACTTTTTAGCCGTAAAGTGGCAGAGTGGTGCAGAGGTCAAACCTGAGAAGCAGAACTGGAAAAGAGATGTGGACAGCCCTTGAAAGAGAGCTAAACCGTGCACTCTGTGCATAACACACCCCTAAGCCCTGCACTCTGTACACAGCACACTTCTGAACTTTGCACAACACATACCCCTGAATTCTGCACTCTGTATGTAGCGCACCCCTAAAGCCCTCCACTCTGTATGTAGCAGTATTCCTGAACTCTGCATACATAGTCTTACAAATACAGCTGGTGCTTTGAAGGCAACTTAATGCTGATGCGGCCTGTGATGAAATTGAGTTTTGATACCACTGGTCTAAAATGTTCTGTGTAGGATGCCATTCCCCTTAGCAACAAGAAGCTCTTATCTGAAATTTCACCTGCAACACTAAGTGCATCATTCACACTGGCTTCGTTAACTCAATGGAAATTTATGAGGGAGATCAGGTACAAAAATGATGACTGTACTGTGAGGAAGACAGTTGTCCTGGTGGGAAATTCTCTTGATTGATCTACTTGACAGTTATAGGAATTTACCAGGCTCTTGGCATCCATGCAAAACATAGAGATTTACTGAGGTTAAACCTATCCTATAAGGACAGTAGTCTAGTGATTTGATAACATTTTGTATAGTAATAAAGTGGTCTTAACACACAATTTATGGTGCACAAGTTCTGAAAACTTTTTGTTTGTGCCTTATGTTCAATAAAGATATTTTGGTGCTTGTTGAGATATTATGACATATACTCACCAGCCACGTTATTAAGTACACTTTGCTAGTACTGGACCCTCTTTGGCCTTCAGAACTGCCTTAATTCTTCATGGCATAGATTCAAAAAGGCGTTGGAAACATTTCTCAGAGATTTTGATCCATATTGACATGAGTTACTGTTGCCTTTCTATTATCTTGAACTAGTTTGTACATTCTCCTCTAACCTCTAACATTAACAAGACATTTTCGTCTACACAACTACCGCTCACTGGATATTTTCTTGTTTTTGGACTATTTTCTATAAATCCTAGAGATGGCTTTGCATGAAAATTCCAGTAGATCAGCAATGTTTTAAATACTCAGACCAGCCTGTCTGGCACCAACAACCATGCCACCCTCAAAGTAACTTAAATCCCCTTTCTTCCCCATTCTGATGCTCAGTTTGAACTTCAACAAGTCGACAGCCCCACGTCTAGATGCCTAAATACATTGAGTTGCTGCCATGTGATTGTCTGATTAGCAATTTGTGATACCAAACAATTGAACAGGTGTACCTACTAAAGTGGCCTGTGAGTTTAGGTTTGTTTGGGCACAACAAACATCCCAAAAAAAGTAAGAAGTATACATTTTGTATGGTTGTGGATTGAGAGTAAACAGGAAATGGGAAAACTGGAAGGATTAAATATCATGGTTTGGATAATAGGTTAAATGAGCCTTAGCAGTTTGTGCTAGTGGTTAGGCTGAGATCTGGGGTTAGTTTCAAGTTTTGGATATGACTATTGATGTTTTTTTTGACACCAAATGTAGTATGAGCATCAGTGCCAAAGCAAACAAATGTAAATTAATTTATTAGTGCTACAACTTTCCCATCCAAAAACCTTTGGGCAGATACTCCTACTTGAAAAAACAAATTTTGGAAGATGAAAGACCCACCTACCACCCACCTAATTAACTTTTAGTATTTCAGTCAACATCTAGCAAATATATGGGTTCTTTGTTGACTTATTTTCAAAACAATTTTGGTATTCAGTAATGACTGCGTGATCTGTTATTGAATACTGATGTTCACAAAGCACACTCCTTCAAACATTAACTGCTTGGCAGATACCAACGTATACAGTATTAATTTAGGTCTTGGCAACAATTAAGACTTATATAAGTCGTGAATGACAACAAATAATGTCAAGAAACTGTAACTGGACTGAAAATTAAGTTGATAATTATAAAAAGACAATCTTTGTTCACAACGCCAAAAATAAAATGGTGACAGTATGTTTCGCAGACCATGAGCACTCATAGGACAGAAGCATGCAGTATATTGGCAAAAGCTGAAAAAAACAAGAAGAGGTCTGTATACTTTGCAAATGTCTTTTTCGCTGTTTGCTCTTGGCATGGGGGAGTTTGTTCCCATTTTTCTAATCTTTTAACAGAAGCGTAATACTTTTTAAAAATTGGGCAAAACAAATTTTTTGCTTCTTAAAATAATGTTGTATGACAAAATAACCCCAAAACATAATACATAGTAAAGAATTAGAAGTTCATGGAAGATAGGGGATTACTTTGGTGGTCCTTTGAATGCATAGTTGATCCCAAGTGTTTTTTGTTACATCTGTTCAACTGCTTTCATCAGGGGTAAACTTAAAAATATAGGATGTCAAAAGGCTGACAATTAAGTGGACTTTTTATTATACTATGGGGCATTCATCTCATGTCCATTCACACATCCAAAGTATTGTTTAGCTTCATGACAAGGGATTAGTCACATACCATGTTACTGAACCATTAAACTTTTCATGGCTAAACCTCTTCTGACTCCCAAAATAATACTTTAGTTGCTCCCCAAGCAACTCATTTTAATTGATTTGTAAAAGTGCACTCTTTGCATAGGCTATGTCTTAACACACTATCAATCCAATCAGTCGACAAAGTTCACTTTGTATGTCAACTGGTGCCCATTATCCCAAGCATATAGTACTTTCTCTTTGGGATTGTAGTCAATCTGTGTTGTAAAGGCATATTCATTAATAAAAGGCAACTTTGGATCTGCTTCAGTATCTGTATGAGTATCGTAAGCGTAAAATATTTGCCCTTCTTTTTGGTTATACACATCCACAGCATACAGAATTCCACAAACAATAAAGCAGTTTCCATAGGAATTCCGTTTCAGGCCAGTCTTCCAAGTTGTCTCCTTCTTTGTAGATAAATCATTGGGGTCAAGTTTGCTGATGACAATGACTTCTTGTTGAGCATAATCGTAGTCCACAGATGGGTAAATGACCCAGAGGCCACTTTCATCAATAGCAAAGTCAATATCAGAATGACCTCTCCACTTCCATGGAGTGGTGTCTTCATATACCACATCGTGAAGGAGTGTCCAGGCTGCTACAAAACGCTGCTTCAGATCATACTTGATAATGTTTTTTGTAAAAGCTCTGTTATAATAAAAGGCTCCTTGATATACAACATGCCCTGTACCAATCCAATTGTATGGGACCTTGTACAAGTTGCTCCATCGACCTAAACCAAAGTAACAGATTGTTAAGAGACATCACTGCTGAGTAACTACTACTTAATCACAACTGTAAAGAATTATTTTGGTTCAGTAAATAGCCTATAACAAGCACATGAAGTGAAATCACTAATTTGCATACTTCTTCTGGGTTTGTGACTCAGATTGTTTTGAAGCCAGGCCACTACCATTGTCTAAAGATCTCAGTGATGGCAGCATACAGTTTGTGCATAAAAGTTTGCATACCTTTACAGAAATTGGGAACTTTTGGCATTGATATTGAAAATATGACTGATCATGCCAAAAACTGTCTTTTATTTAAGGATAGTGATCATATGAAGTCATTTATTATCACATAGTTGTTTCGATCCCTTTTAAATCATAATGATAACAGAAATCACCCAAATGGCCCTGATCAAACGTTTACATACCCCGGAATGTTTGGCCTTGGTACAGACACACAAAGTGACACATACAAATGGCAATTAAAGCTTAATTTCCCACATCTGTGGCTTTTTAAATCGCAATTAGTGTCTGTGTATAAATAGTCAATGAGTTTGTTAGCTCTCACATGGATGCAGAAAAGAACTGTCAAAGACCTGCATAACAAGGTAATGGAACTTTATAAAGATGGAAAAGGACATAAAAAGATATCCAAAGCCTTGAATATGCCAGTCAGTACTGATTACTCACTTATTAAAATGTGGAAAATTAGGGGATCTCTTGATGCTAAGCCAAGGTCAGGTAGACCAAGAAAGATTGCAGCCACAGCTGCCAGAAGAATTGTTCAGGATATAAAGAAAAAGCCACAGATAACCTCTAGATAAATACAGACTGCTCTTGAAAAAGATGGTGTGGTTGTTTCAAGGAGAACAATACGACGGCAACGATACTTGAACAAAAATGAGCTGCATGGTCGAGTTGCCAGAAAGAAGCCTTTACTGCATCAATGCCACAAAAAAGCCCAGTGGGGTGTTTCAAGGTGTTTTCAGGCATTTAGTAACTGGACATTCTTGTGACATTGGAGCAGTAAATGTTTTTTTTCTGGCAGCTAGCTTATGCAGCTAGTTTTCGTTCAAGTACTGTTACATTGTACTCCTTGAAACTAACAAACTCTTTTTTCCAGAGCTGCCTGTACTTCTCCTGAGGTTACCTGTGGCTTTTTCTTTGTTCTTTGTATCTTTGTTTCTTTGACTAATAAACACCCTTTTTTGATGACCTGCATTTATGATATTTGCTCACAGGTAGGATGCTTACCTTTAATGTTTAAAATTGAGTAAGGTACATGTTAATTGAACTAATATAAATGCAGCAAGCACCTGCGTTACTGTTTTTTGGATGATGTACATGGCAATTATAATGAAAAAAATTATATGGGATAGCCACACTTAAATGCATTGTATAGTGTATTTCATATGCTTATTTCCTCGATTGTGACTGTAAGTAGAATATGTTTACTTTTAAACATGTGCCTTGCAGGTAAAAAAATGTGCATTTATTATTTTTTGTTTCTAGAGCCTATAAAGCATTGCACCAGTGATCAGCAGATCGCTGGTACCATGCAGGTCTCCCTCTGTCAGTGTATCTGCTTGGGCATACATTCTGTATGGGCAAACAGATACTTACTGACAGGAAGGCTCAATGAATTATCACTGTGCTGTGGAACAAAGGATGTTGGCAGTTGTAGTTTTCCCATTCACAGAATGAGTAACACGGCTGGGCAGGTGGAACCCCGCCTGGCCACGTTTAAAAAAAAAAATGTTTTATTGTGGTAGTTAGCGGGGGGGGGGGGGGGGCGGTCCATTCATAACAAGGTGAACTTATCCTTTAATTTGCTAGATTTATAAGCACATTATTGACCAACTTTACATGAGGGCAGGCATTTTACATGATTTAACAGGACTGGAAAGTTTGCTTCAATTACAAAGTATGTGTAACTGATATGCCCCCCCCCCCCCACACCCCAAGAAAGAAAAAAATCCATGATATTTTAGTAACATTTTTCATACCTTGTTTAAAATTGTCTAGGTTTCTAAACTCCACTAGATTATTGCCATAATAATAATTGGTGATGTAGATTCTGTCATCCTTTGCTGCGGGGTCTTTCATCCAGGCGCCTTCATTGCGGCCATAACTGTGATGCTTTTTTGGTGCCTCGACTGATGCGATGGTGCCCTCACATGTGCCTTCTCTTACTGGGAGAAAAGAGTTTCATGGTAAGACCATACAATTCCAAACTACTGATCACATATAAAAAACAGCTGGGTCTCAGCTGTGTTTCAAAGCAGCTGTGTTTGATAAAATTATACCGGCTGCAGCAGTCAGCTTCTGTATTTTATGCTTCTTTGACAGATAAGAAAAATACAAGATGAAGCACTTTAATTACTATGGAAAACACTGCCAGTTGCTCTGCCTTAAACCTAGGCAAATAAAGCAAATGTATTGTGTATATTTAAAAATAAGCACAAAAAAGACTTAAAATCATTAGAAAATAAACAATTCACATACTATGCTGTCAGTGTTCCTCAAAGCAACACTGGATGTACTGATATTATCAGATCCAGTGGTATGACAAGGTCAATTGGTACCCAGGATAAAAATGTTAAATTGCGCCCCCCCTCACGTGTCTTGCGAAAGTGTCAGTGCCAGTTTATGCAATAACCCACAGCATTGATGTTAGTAGCAACAGTAATAACCCCCAGCATCAGTGCCAGTTTCTGCAATGACCCCCAGCATTGGTGGCCATTTATGAAACAATAACCCCCAGTATAAATGGCAGTTTCCAGAATAATAACCCCCAGCATCAGTGCCCCCTTACACAACAATAACCCTCAGCATAAATGGCAGTTTCTGTAATAGTAACCCCAAGCATCAGTGCCAGTTTCTCCAATCATATCAGCAGCACAGCTAAATGGTTAGCACTTCTGCATGGCAGTACCCTTCGTTGGCTTGAATCCCAGCCACGGCACCACCTGCCTGGAGTTTGCATGTTCTCTCTGTGCCTGCGTGGGTTTCCTCCGGGTACTCCCATTTCCTCCCACACTCCAAAGACATGCTGGTAGGTTAATTGGATCCTATTTAAATTGTGCCTGGTATGTGTATGTATGAATGTAAGTTAGATTGTACGCCTCTTGAGGGTTAGGGTCTCATGTGAATGTACAATATAAATGTAAAGCACTGCGTAAATTGATGGCGTTATATGAGTACCTGAAGTAAATAAGTAAATGAAGTAAAATAAAATATCCCACAGCATCGGTGCCAGTTTACGCAATAATAACCCCCAGCATAAGTGTCAGTTTCTGTAATAATAACCCCCAACATTGGTGCCAGATTACAAAATAATAACTCACAGCATTGATGTCAGAAGCGGCAATAATAACCCCCAGCATCATTGACAGTTTGTGCAATAGTACCCTCCAGCATTGATGCCAGTTTCTGCAATAATAATCCCCAGCATTAACCCCCAGCATTGGTGTTAGTAGCAGCAATAACAACCCCCAGCATTGGTGTCAATTTTTGCAACAATAATTGCCAGCATTGGTGCCAGCTTGAGTAATAACTCCCAGCATTGATGATAGTTTCTGCAATAATAATCCCCAGCATTAGTGTCAACAGAAACAATATTAATCCCCAGCATAGGTGGTCAGTAGGGTTATGCTATTTAAACCCCTATAAGTAGAATTCCAGCCTAAACCTAACTAGCCTTAAAAATGCCCTCTGCTCTCACCGAACACCCGTGTTAACATTACTTGCACATTACTAATAGCACTTTTAATTAATTAACCCCTTTACCCCCTCCCCCAAAGAGTTACCCACTCCACTGGAAAGCCTTATTGATAGTGTAACACAGCATTACACTGCCAGTGTGTCTAGAAGTAATTTTAGGAAGGAGGATCTGCGCTGCTCACTTGCATACAGGTCCCCCGCAGTGCCGGCATTACTCATTGTTCTCCTCTCTGCCAGCCTCATGGCCTCTAAATGTCATCACGCTGGACTGGGACTAGAAAGCATCTGTCAGGTGAAGATCGCTTTGCCTTACAGAGCAGTAAATGTGTTTCCCTCTAAACTAGCTCTAGGTGCAGTTCTGTGCGATGGTCTGCAGCGAAGGTGATCTTTATTGGGAATGGTGGCAGCCAGACTTTAGCAGCACTGTGAGTATGAACTTCACTTGCATCCTTCCACCCACCCCTTGCCCCAGCCCTGATCAGATCTGTTGTGTTTGTTAAAAACACCTTACAACAGTTATTTTGGTGCCTAATTCGCATTGATATACTTTGACATAATATTAGTGTTATATATCAAGTAAAATAATTGTTATTATTACAGGTACTTGTATAGCACCTTCAATTTCATACATACAAATACTAGGACCAATTTAGACAGGAGCTAATTAACCTACCAGAATCATAACAGAGAATGAGTATCTAACTGCTCGTCCCCAACGTACATGTAAATGGAGAATCCCATATGGGACTTTAACCACCTCCCACCCGCCATATAGTACAATGACGGGACGCAAGGCGGTTCTCTTGTTCTGGGAGGACATCATATGACTCCGGTAGCGCGCAGTGTGACGATCGGCAGTGCGCTGTGTCCCTTGGACACAGCAGATCACCGATCAACGGAAAGAGCCGAAGATGTCGGCTCGGTCATCTGATCAACTGTGTCCAATCACAGCTGATTGCATGTAAATAGGAAAATGCCTGTTATAGGCATTTCTCTCCTCATGAACTGTCACGTTGACAGCTCGAGAGGAGAGGAGAGCTGGTAATCAGCATTTCTCAGAGGGGACATGTACACTGATCATCAGGGCACTGATGATCAGTGTGCCCTGATGATCTGTGTAGCCCCAGCAGTGCCACCTGTCAGTGTCCATCAGTGCCAGCTGTCAGTGCGCATCCATGCCACCTGCCAGTGCCCATCAGTGCCACATCAATGCCACATTACAGTGCCTACCAGTGCACATCAATGCCACATATCAGTGCCCATCTGAGCTGCCTTTCAGTGTCACCCATCAGTGCCAGTCAGTGCCACCTATCAGTGATGCCAATCGGTGCCACCTATCAGTGCCAGTCAGTGCCGCCTAACAGTGCCAGCCAGTGCCACCTAACAGTGCCAGGCAGTGCCGCCTATCAGTGCCAGTCAGTACCGCCTATAAGTGTCACCTATCAGTGCCGCCTATCAGTACCATATATGAGTGCTGCCTTTCAGTGCCCATCAGTAATGCCTGTCAATGCCCATCATTGCCACCTACCAGTGCCTCCTCAGCAGTGCCCATCAGTGCCACCTATCAGTTTCCATCAGTGCACCCTATCAGTGCCCATCACTGCAGCCTCATTAGTGCACATCAGTGAAGGAGAAAAATCACTTATTTACAAAATTTTATAACAAAAACTAAGAAAAAACTTTTTTTTCACAATTTTCTGTGGTTTTTGGTTTGTTGAAGAAAAAATAAAAAAACCCAGAGGTGAATAAATACCACCAAAGTAAAGCTCTATCTGTTACAAAAAAATGATAAAAATTTCATATGGGTACAATGTTGCATGACCGCACAATTGTCATTCAAAGTGCAACAGCACTGAAAGCTGGAAATTGGCCTGGGCAGGAAGGGGGTATAAGTGCCTTGTAGGCTAGTGGTTAATGAACCAACCATATCATTACATAAATACTCAAAAGAACTTTGCATATGCTTTGTTACATGAACATACTTGTGAAAGATACATAATCTTTAAAAACATTAGCTCTGATGGATTTTGCAAAAATACTGCCTTCACAGAATAACAGAATTCCCAAAATTCCAAATTCCAAAAATGTGAATTCTGTGCAGGAAGTATTTTTGCAATATCCATCAGAGCTAACGTTTTTAAAGATTATGTCTCTTTCACAAGTTTGTTCATGTAAGAAAATATATGTTTTAGAAAAAAAGTTCTTTTGAGTATTTGTGTATGATATGGTTGCTGCATTAAAGTCCCATATGGGGATTCTCCATTTACTTTAACCTACCAGCATGTCTTTAGAGTGTGGGAGAAAACAGAAGTACCTGGAGGAAACCCACACAAGCACAGGGAGAACATGCAAACTCGTACATATGCATGCCATGGTTGGGATTTGAACCTATGACCCTAGTAGCTGCTGGGCAAAGCTAACCACTTTGCCACTGTGCTAAATTTTGGATTTAGGGTAGGGTGATCAGATGTCCCAGGTTTCAGGGAACAGTCTTTGATTTTAGGGGGCTTTCGAAGGAAAAAAGTGTCCTTCTTTTAGTCCATGGTGGAAAAAAAAAAAAATGGGTCCCTGATTTTTTGCCAGCTTTAATAATGGTGTCCCTGGCCCTGTGATTAGATTGGAACAGGGGGAGGGAAGGGAGGCGTGTGCCTTCTCCCAGCTGTGTACAGGGTTATTGATAATGTCACATGCCATTATCACATGGTCTGCCTGGTCCCTCCCCTCTTGGTTTATGTAGACTTTTTCATTGGAGGTAAGGATATGGATTATTTTCTGCCTTGCCCTTCTTTCTAATGGCGTCCTGCAGTGCACATGTAGGCTCGGAGCCTACTACGGTACAGGACCAGAACAAGGGAGTGGGAGGGAGTCCAGGAGGAGCAGCTGCCCTGTGCATAGTGTTTTAATGTGGGGGAAGTATATGTGTCTGTGTGTAAGGGGGGAGGAGGGGGTTGTTGCGACGTGCCTAGCAAATCAGTAACAGTAGACACCAATGGTAAATTTTTGGCATTAATATACTCAACTGGATTGTGATTGGAGAGTCCTCTGCAGGCGGCCACCTTTTAAATGCAACCTGGGACATGACTTTTCACATGGGAGTGCTGGTGATTGCTGTGCAGAAAGAGCTAGGGAGGTGCTGGAGAGGTGACTTCTTCCACCTGATGTCACAGACTCCTCCCCATACAGCGAGTAGATGGTGCCTTATGCAGTTGTACAGGTGCTACCACTGCAGATGAGGGCAGGGAACTTACTAGCAGATGGTGGACTGTAGGGACTCACCAACAATGCCATACCGAGGTACGATAAGTACTATTCAGGGAGGGGAAAATTTGTGCTGGAGGTGGTTTTCGCATGGAGGGGAGGAGAGGATGAATTCTTCTTTATGAGGCACTCTGTGCTGTGTGGTTTTTTTTTTTTACTCATAGGGTACACCCTTAGTGATCTTGATACCTCAGTTCACAGGCTCCTCTCA